TCTCTATCTCTATCTCTATCTCTATCTCTATCTCTATCTCTATCTCTATCTCTATCTCTATCTCTATCTCTATCTCTATCTCTATCTCTATCTCTATCTCTATCTCTATCTCTATCTCTATCTCTATCTCTATCTCTATCTCTATCTCTATCTCTATCTCTATCTCTATCTCTATCTCTATCTCTATCTCTATCTCTATCTCTATCTCTATCTCTATCTCTATCTCTATCTCTATCTCTATCTCTATCTCTATCTCTATCTCTATCTCTATCTCTATCTCTCTCTCTCTCTCTCTCTCTCTCTCTCTCTCTCTCTCTCTCTCTCTCTCTCTCTCTCTCTCTCTCTCTCTCTCTCTCTCTCTCTCTCTCTCTCTCTCTCTCTCTCTCTCTCTCTCTCTCTCTCTCTCTCTCTCTCTCTCTCTCTCTCTCTCTCTCTCTCTCTCTTTCTCACCCTCCCTCTCTGTCCCTCCCTCCCTCCATCCATTCCCCTATCCATCCATCCATCTGTGCTGCGCTGATGATTCCACAAAGAACGAAACTGTTCTGTCCGTGGATTGAGAATTTCGCTCCTGCTCTTGTACCAGTTGAGCACTCTTGTGTCAGGTCGTGCCTTTGCTGTTTGCGTTATGCAAAGCTCACTGATTTGTCAGTTTGAGCACTCTGGCAAGCTACGTTCGGGCCTGGTTTAAATGTAGCCTTGAATCTCTCTCTCTCTCTCTCTCTCTCTCTCTCTTCTCTCCCTCTCTCTTTCTCCCCCTCCCTCTTTGTCCCTCCCTCCATCCATCCCCCCATCCTTCCATCCATCTGTGCTGCGCTGATGATTTAACAAAGGACGAAACTGTTCTGTCCGTGGATTGAGAATTTCGCTCCTGCTCTTGTAGCAGTTGAGCACTCTTGTGTCAGGTAGTGCCTTTGCTGTTTGCGTTATGCAAAGCTCACTGATTTGTCAGTTTGAGCACTCTGGCAAGCTACGTTCGGGCCTGGTTTAAATGTAGCCTTGAATCTCTCTCTCTCTCTCTCTCTCTCTCTCTCTCTCTCTCTCTCTCCTCTCTCTTTCTCCCCCTCCCTCTTTGTCCCTCCCTCCATCCATCCCCCCATCCTTCCATCCATCTGTGCTGCGCTGATGATTTAACAAAGGACGAAACTGTTCTGTCCGTGGATTGAGAATTTCGCTCCTGCTCTTGTAGCAGTTGAGCACTCTTGTGGCAGGTAGTGCCTTTGCTGTTTGCGTTATGCAAAGCTCACTGATTTGTCAGTTTGAGCACTCTGGCAAGCTACGTTCGGGCCTGGTTTAAATCTAGCCTTGAATTATTCCCGTAGCTATGCAGAAGAGGTTACTTCAGTAACGTCTGGCGCTAGCCAGGGTCCACACAGCTTTAATTTGGTTTTTGTGTGTTTGTGTGTTTGTTTGTTTGTTTGTGTCACGCCTGGCGCTATCCGTATCTGACGGCAAAAAAGCATAGGATGTTATAAATTTTTCAATTCTCCTTTTTTTTTTCAGGCATATCCTGGGATTCGAACCCGCACTATCGCCCTACATGCATTCCCCCATACACTTCGCATTCATACCCATTCTTCCAAGTTGCTTCACGTTATTATCTTGCGTTTGAAAGCCCTATTTGAATATTGCGGGCAGCTGTATGTGGCCAGCTGTGTTTGATGGTACGGTACGGTACGGGAGACGGTGTCGTATTACCCTCGATCGTACCTGTCCCGTACCTATCCCCTACCGTACCGTGCCATCAAAGACGGCTGGCCACAATGCATATTCAAATAGGGCTTTCAAATTAGGCCTTGGCGGATAATGCTCGAAAAGGTGGCAGATTCTGCTTTTTTTGCACCGAAATTGGCAGAACCATACAAACCTTATGGCGGGCAATTCCTCGAATTCTGCTCCATTTCTTTATCCACATACCAAACATGCATGAAACTTACCAGAAAAAGTACCGAATTCTGCCAATTTTTCTGCCGGCATTATCCGCCAAGGCCTATTTTGAATGCAAGATCACAATGTGAAACAACTTGGAAGAATTAGCATGTATGCGAAGTGTATCGGGGGATGCATGCAGGGCGCGTGATAGTGCGGGTTCGAATCCCAGGTTATGTCTAAAAAAAAAGGATTTTTTTAAAGAATTTATAACATCCCTATGCTTTTTTTTGTCTAGGTCATCAAGGCAAAAAAGCATAGCGTAGGGCCCTGAGCTTCCAAGCTCTCTCGTTTTATTTTTCATTGCTATCAGGTTCGGCCTCATGTCCTCTGTGCTGCACTGATAAGTCCATATAGGATGAAACAGTTCTGTCCGCAGATTGAGTATTTCGCTCCTGCTCTTGTAGCGGTTGAGCACTCTTGTGTGGGGTAGTGCCTTTGCTGTTTGCGTTATACAGAGCTCACTGACTTGTCAGTTTGAGTACTCCCCTCGATTCCATCCCGCGACAGCGCGTCCACTACAGCGCGAGGCATTTCAGCGCGACCACTTCAGGGCAAGGAATTCAGCGCGAGGTAGTGTCAGCGCGAGGCACTTCAGCGCGAGGTAATGTCAGCGCAAGGCACTTCAGCGCGATGTCCTGTCAGCGCCAGGTAATGTCAGCGCCAGGCACTTCAGCGCATATATGTCAGCGCGAAGCACTTTCGCGAGTACTATTATCGTACGCACAGAATTAGTGGTCTCGTCTGCACTCCCGCTAGCGGGATTTGGTGATTTGGTGATTTGGTGATTCTTTGACAAACTTGTTTTCACATAGTTTATTGAAATTATTTAGTAGGCATATAGCGATATGACAAGAGAATCCGTAGATTAGAAATGAAGAAGTCGACCAACATTCGAAAGAAATTCAAAATTAGTGATTTCCCCATTTGCACGTCTGACTTCCAGAACGCGAACTCGATTGTTAAGTCGAGTGTATGGAGCTTTCCCGACTGGGATGCGCTGGCCAGCTTGCATCTGGCTGGCAAGAAGCTCCGTACGCGAAGCCTCCTTCTTCAGTTGCTCCAACAGCACCCAGACGTTGGGGTGGGCGATGTTCACCTTTTGGCTAAATCGATGGTGCTATCCCTCAACACAGTTGTTGGTCCTGACGTCCCTTCCATGGCAGCACCATAGCGACATCGGAACGTTAGCATTCTCGTTCGCCGTCAGCAGCACGCTTATCAAGGCGATAAGTGTAACCACCTTGGCAGAATGCCGGCTTGCCCTTGGCTGTCTCAAATCGGTTCAATTCCATTTTTGAGAGTTAGCTTGCATCGAAAAATTATGGGAAATTATGGCTTATCCCCGAAAATACTGTGTCTTTTATAGGGCGACAGGTGTACATGGCAGTGGTAATACCCCGTGCAAGTTGTCAATAGTCATTGATAGTCACTAATACCGGTAGTCACTAATTCATTGGTGCCCGTACGTATATTAACATGTACGGCGCTGAAGTGCCTCCCGCGGAAAAAATCTGCGTTGAAGAAATTGGAGCTGACATGTCCTGCGCTTTAAAATTTCGCGCTGAAATCATTGGCGCTGTCAAGACACGGCGCTGAAATGGCACCGAGCTGAAATGCCTGGCGCTAAGGCGGTCGCGCTGAAGTGCACCGCGCTAACATGGACTCGCTGTCGCGGGAGGTTACCCTCCCCTCCGCCGAACACTTTAATCTCTTCGTGATCCGTTCTGTGACTGTATATTTGTCTGCATCTCCACACTCACGCGCACGCGTTCGTGTGCATTTGTGTGTCTCTGTGTGTCTGTTTGTGACTGTGTGTGTATCTGCGTGTGCACACACGCACATGTGTGTGTGAGAGTGTGTTTGTGTGTGTGTGAGTATGTGTGTGTGTGTGCGGGCGCTCGCGCGCGCGCGCGCGCGTGTGTTTGGTTTAGACCAGGCTTAAATTGGTGGTGGTCAATTCATCCGCCTTCCAAGCTGTTGCATGCTTTAATTCTAATACTAATTGCTATGTTTAACCCTTTACCGTTTTAGGTATTTGTACAGCAAAAACCGACCGTCATTGTTCATGCCGTAACTGTTTTATTTTTCACTTTTATTATGTACAAAATGGGGTGATTCTAAAAGTAAAAACCCTCAGGAATGCGATGCAACAACTTTCAAGTCCAGAAAACGAACACAGATTTCACTATTTAGCACTAATAATTATTTGGATTTATTGCCGATCGGGCAAACTGTTGCAATATGCAATAAATCAGATCCTTGCACTGGAGTGGCTCCCTCAGGTAAGTGGATACCAGGTTCGTGCTCTGGGTGGAATGCAGGAGTGTTACCAGTCACAGCTTAGTCAGCATTGTCCCAAGTATTGCAAATATCGACTAGTGCAGGTTGCACCGCTGGCTATACATAGTACCTGTGCACCACGACCTCTACCGTGACGACGGCCTATTCCAAGGCCGAATCCTCTCTCTCTGCCACGTCCCCTTCCACCATTAGTGGCACTCATCTCAGCGACACTGTCGTCGTCTGTGACATCCATGTCACTCTCACTGGCGCTGCTTTCACTCGCCATGTCATCGTCAGAATAAATATTTTCAACAGGATTGTCTGGCTCCACAAACTCATCTTCGCTGGATGAGGCAGCGACAGAGTCGTCAGGAAGGGTCTCCAGAAGCGAAAGAGCTTGCTCCGCGTCCATGGCTTGCACAGCAGGGCAGACAGTCGTGAGGCCAGCTCAAGCAAAGTCGAAATAATCTGCAGGCAATACCAAAAGTCGCAGGGTACGCACTTTTCCCAAAGCGCATTTTTCAAGTCGCGATTTTCGCGATTTTTTATATTGCATCACACAAAAAAATTGTCAGCACCCTCTAGCTCTGCGCGTACATCTTGGCTACCAGTAGGGAAAATCCCAGCTCTCTGCGGTGAACCAGTCCAGCGCTGTGCGCATAGAAGTCATCGACCGCGAGCGGTCGAAATTTGTACGTACAAACGGTAAAGGGTTAACTGTTTGCAATCATATCTTCAGAGATGTGCATGTGTAAGTAAGATTGTATGTGCGTGCATGCGTGCGTGTGTGTTTGAACATATGTTTACGTCCATACCAGTAGAGGAGGATCATGGAACAGAAGAGATGAGTGAAAGGGAAATGGAGCATGAAATATCATCATCAGCTGAACCAGTTGCAGTACTGGTTCTGAGGCCCATACCATTCCTTGCAATGGTGACAGGATTGAGTCTTCTTATCCTTGCTGTCATCAGTGTCTACTACGGTTTCAGCTCACCAGGTAAGATCTAGTCTCTCTGCATCAATAATGGCAAAAACACTTCTGGCCTGTCCACTTTGGAACTGTTGGTTCGGGAACTCATTGCAACACTTTCGTTTTCCATCCTAACCCCTACTTATCTTTATCACTGTTGTTAGCTATCACCCACTCTCTTACATTGGCCAGTGTTTCCACTGAGTCTTAACCTTTTTGAGCACGCGTCACGTTCTGACACGTCATGACCACTGCCACTGTGACACGCGTGACATTCTAGAACGTCACGTGTCAGTGCGGAACTACATCGATACCGCGTTTCTTCCGTGGCGTGGCGTCGAGCTGTACCGCTGCACAGAGGACTGCTAGGATGTACGAGTACAGTAACAAAAAAATGCGAGTCGCTCCGTAAGTTTGAACTGGAGTTACATGCGCGTGCATACATTTCAAAATACCAATTTCGCGTAAAACTACCTTTATGAAAACGGTCATAACTTTTGTAATCTTTGTTCTATTTCCAAAACAAAAACAATTCTGTGCTCAGGATACATAAAATAATTGTTTGAAATCAAGTTTGCTCACAAAGAGTGAATGTAAATTTTTTACTGCGTGGCAGAGGTTTTCAATGTGCCTGGGCTCAAAAGGTTAAGATGATGCAAAAAATATTAAGAGAGCATGTATGAGAATACCAATGTATGTGGGCAAATCGATTCTCTCCGATTTCGCTCAAAATTTCCCTTTATATTCCCTTTGAGGTGTAGATCGATTGTACAAAATCCTTGAAAGGGAGGAAGGGAACCTTGAAACTTGCATACCCCTCAAAAATGGCCGAAATATCACATTACTTATGGGTCTACAAACGAGTCACGCCACAGCGTATACGAACAAGCTAAAAACAAATCTCCATCAGGCCAACATTGCCTCACCTTAAAAGACTTCTTGGAGCAATACCGCTTAGCCACGCCAGGATCCCAGAAGACGAGGGTCATCACACCCTGACGCCACAAATGATCATCTTGAAATTGCCAATTTACAAGCGCTGGCAAAACAGCCAGCTACGTCCTCAATTGGCAAGAACTATACACCGGCAGATAGTAGAACACCTCTTCTAGCGTAGAGGATATGCCCCCCATCTTCCTTTTGGGGGTTTTCTTGAAATAAACGTTTTTGAATTTTTCCACTCGACCTTGCTGAAATGCGGCCAAAGTCTTGCCTGCGCAGGAAAGCTCGCCGCTCCGCGACGTCTCCTCAGCAATATCTACTCCAACACTACTCCCAACGCTGCAGAACAAAGGGTATTGTTGACTCTGACAAGGAAAAGCAGCGGTGATCACTTGTCACTCCAAACGACAAGCTTCTCCTTGCGCCACCAACAGTTTTTGGTGCGACTGTTGATGCAAAAGTGTACGTAATTCCTTCTTATTACCCCTTGCCAATACCTCCCTGTTTCTGAAATCTCCTATCTTCTCTGCGTACACTCTCTGGTCTGCCCTGCCAACTAGCCTTAAATCATGCACAGATATTAACCTCTTTAGCACGACGCTACCTGAATGCGCCCGACGTCAACACCTGTAAAAGTCGCATTCTCCCATGAAAGTACTAGCCGCTGAAGGATCGATAACTTTACCTTCCCTTGGACGAATTCCACAATATTGAGCTTCCTAGAAAGGTCTTGAGACGAGGGACAAACTTTTGTCAAACCCGGCTCGGAGCGAAACCAAAGCCGCGTGCTACAGTCTGGCAAACGTCATCCACTAGTTAGACAGACTTGAGCACGGCCAAGACTAACCGAGCTCAAATATTCAGCTGCCATTTCGGTCTCCTTGCTCGCATCGAGCTCAAATATTCTGCGAGGACTCACGGGATCCACTAGCATCATTTAAATCTTGTTTCCATGGCAGCAGGTAGCGCAAAAATGATCCATGATGGAAAATACGTGTTCTGCAGACTGCGCAGAAAATCGAGCGGAAATTTGCCGTGTCGAGTCGCATATCTCAACAACCGGTAATCGTATCGCTTCGACGATTGTTTCTATCGGTAGCAGAGAGTTTTCTCTTGCGGATACATGTTTCGATTGTGAGAATCGACCAAGTATTGAGTGAGTTACGATAGTTTGAGCAAGTCTCTATGGACTCAACACGGACCCCACGACTATGAGATGCAGGTTCACTGTACAGTGTACAGCGCGCGTCGTACTAGTAAGACGGCCGTGGAGCATGCAACTCATGTGTGTCGTACTAGTACGACGCTCGCGCTAAAGGGGTTAAGGAATGTACTCGGATAGAGAGCCAAGAATTAATTTATACAACAGAGAAAGGACCAAGGAACTACAAGTTACGCTATGCTGTCCACTAACACCACCAGTTACTAAACAATCAGCTCATGCGATAACATTGCACGACACTGACCGACGATACTGACGTTCTACAACTAACTGGCTAACAGCTCTAGCACATCTTGGATGCGCACTCCAACAGCCTTCCAACTTGGAAGCTTCTAAGTTATACAAAGCATCTAAATTGTCATAGTCGAAGTACAGTGCTGTTTTCTGAGGCGTTCACTTTTCATGATTCTTGCTCGCATAGCTTCCCCTTTTATTGATCTTCGCATCTTTTGAGCCACACAAGTTGTGTGGAATGTTGCTTTGCGTTCTTGAATCGTGGCTTGACCGTTTTGTCCAATGGTCTTGCCAGTATCGACTTCGACATGCCTGAACATCCGCCAATGTCCTTCACAGCTGAGACTTTCAACTCGTGCTTATCTTGGTTGCGCTCACCTTCCCCTCCTGTTATTTCTATAACTTAGAAGCTTCCAAGTTGGAAGGCTGTTGGAGTGCGCATCCAAGATGTACTAGAGCTGGTAGCCGGTTAGTTGTAGAACGTCAGTACCGTTGGTCAGTGTCGTGCAATGTTATGGCATGAGCTGATTGTTTAGTAACTGGTGGTGTTAGTGGACAGCATAGCAACTTGTAGTTCCTTGGTCCTTTCTCTGTTGTATAGATATTAAGGAGTTCAAGCTCTAGCTTCTCTGTCCTAAATAGTCTCACCATTTCGTCATGCCTCTCCCTGCAGTAGTCTCTTTTGGTCTCTTTTGTTTCTCTCCTTATAATTTAGTTCGCCGTGGTTGGCTACCACCCGACTTCTCATAAATATCGGCCGTTTTACGATGAAAAATAATATCAGCGAAATTATCCTCGCTATGGTGGTAAGGATGTGTAAGCGAAGTGAGTTGCGAAGGGAACATTGGGGAACGGTGAAACTGATCGGCTTTCAAGTATGGGTCAAATTTGTTTCAGCTATGCCTTTGCCATTTTCTGTTCTGTTGTTTTGTTCTTGTTTCCAGCTTCACTCCACATGGGTCGTGCTGAAAAGCTATTGAAGATTCGCTACGCCAAGGCCAATAAAAACTATGCACCGATGTTTGGAGCGACCAAAGCCAATACAGTCGACAACATCTACATCAACCTTGTCATGCTGCCGAAGAGCAATCTAAGCGACGAGTTCAAGAATGGATTTGAATCCAGCTCCGACGACATGTGGCGGACGGAGCATGCCTTCACACGTGCAAGCCAGAGAATGCAAGGAATCGACTTGGAGTCTCTTCTCGACACCACCCGTCATGACCAATCACCCTATTCCACAGGTCAGACTCTCGGCACGATAGTCATGGCTAGTGCTGGGTGTGGGAAATCGTTTGTTTTTACGAGAGTGGCACCGATAAAATGGGCAGCAGGTGAACTGTGGCCCAACAAGAAACTGCTCGTTGCAAGAGAGTTGCGTTTCCCAGACGTGCACAAGGCTACATCCCTGAGTAAGCTACTTGGACTAGACGGTATCGGTATTGAAGACAGCAATGCTCAGCAGGAGATCTGTGATCATGTTCGTGAACACCCAGAGAGTCTAGTGCTTATTCTAGATGGTCTTGATGAGGTGAGCCTGAAAGACTCGAGCAGTTTTGTCTATGATGTACTGTTTGGCAAGGAGTTGCAGGGAATTCATCTCATAGTAACATCTCGACCATGTGCCGACATTTTCCAGTTGTCAGTATTACTTCACTTCCACCATCACATTGAGCTATTGGGTTTCAAACAAGATGATGTGGAGATGTATATCCATAACGTGTTAAGCCGGGAGAAAGCAGAGACCCTGGTCGCAGAAGTTAATCGTTCGGCTTATCTGGCTGGGATGATGGCGACCCCATTCATGGCAAAGGAAGTGTGCGAGCAGTACCACTCTGGCTTGGATGTGCCACAGTGCATGACGGACATGTTTGAACAGATGATTGTGCAGATCATCAACCGGAAATACGACCGAGCACATAAGCATTGGAATGAAATACCTGTTAAGGCAAGACTGCTGGTGATGGAGATAGGACAGTTTGCCTTCAATATGCTAGCTGAGAAGCGGATGATCTTCAACGATGTCGATCTCGAGACGCATTCTGTCAGTGAAGATGCCTTCAAACTAGGTTTGTTGGTGTCAGGCGAGGAATCTCTATCAAGGAATGTTGCCAGGCAACATCGATTCAGCCATCTGACCACTCAGGAGTATTTGGCAGCAATCTACCTAGCCAGACACCCCACACTCGACATCATGAACAGTTCCAGAATTATTCGACTTGTGGAAATCCTTGGTGCAGAAACTGCACATTTGAGAACATTCTGGACCATGCTTTGTGCCCAGCTGAACACTGCACAAGCCGAATGTCTCGTGAACTCGTTATTAACACGACAGAAGGTACAGGAACAGGATGAAAATGAAGAAGAAGGAATTGTGCACCTCTTTCATCGGTACACATCAGGTGTTCAGAGTGAGGACCTGGTTCAATCACGGAACATGTCTGTATATTTCGAGAGGTCAGAAAAGCAGCGAAGATATCTTCAGAGTCTTTCTTTCCACTCCTTTGCCGAGCTGGCAATGCACCAGAAAAGGGCTAATTCCCCGTTGCCATCGATACGAGCATTGCTAGCATCTAGGCAAAAAGTGGTGATCAGCACATTGCAGCATCCTGCAGAGGTACGCTCGATCGACATAGCCCTTCGCCATCACCACCAAGATGCCCGTGCAGTGTACATAGAAGGATGGACCGTGGGCAGTAGCGGTCATTTTCCTTCTTCCCTAGCGAACTGCAGTGGTATACAAGTGTTAACAGTCCACACTTTGGAGATGTTCCATGGTAATCTGGCTGCTGTGAACTTTGCTGTGCAGCATTCCGCCAGCAGTCTACACGATCTGACTCTGATTCACTGTCCAATATCTGACTCTCTGATTGCCGCAATCTCATCGCATCTCCAGCTTCATGTGTTGGAACTCTGGTATAGTCTGACTACTAGCAATGCCGGTGCTTTGGCCAGTGCATTGTCTAATCGCTCAAGTTTGCGAAGGATCGAACTGCGTGGTAAGATGGACCTTACAAGTGATGATGTAGCTGCAATCTCTCATGCACTTCACCGATGTAGTAACCTATACTTTGTTCGTTTTTTTGCCTGCGGTGTGACTGCATCATTTCTACCGGCCATCATGACATCTCTGCACCACTGGAAACGCTTGCAAGTCTTGGATCTCAGCAACAACAACTTCAGTGACACTGATGCTTATGCAGCTTCTCAGTTCTTCTCTGCGCTCTCAAGACTCCCAGTTTTACAATCGATTAGCCTTAGACGGTGTCATTTCTCTAAAAGTACTGGCTTTGCTTTTGCAACCAAACTGTACACTATTAGCACCTTGCATTTCATAGATTTGTCCTATAATCCCAACCTAGGTGATGAAGCTGTTATAACTATTTTCCACGCACTAAGGCAATGCAAAGGCGTGGTAGAGATCTCTCTGATAAACTGTGGTCTGACGGCCGCATCATTGCCAGCTATTACAGCTGCTTTGAACAGCTGGCCGCAGCTGCTACGCTTGTGGCTCCACGACAATGACTTCAGAGATGTCACAGAAGACCAGGCCAACAGCTTCATTGCGGCCATTAAAGCACATAAGACGCTTGCTAAGCTAACATTAAAGGGCTCAGGTATGGTTGCCAATCATAATGGAGCATTTTTGGCGCTAAAGTCTGCTCAGCTTCCCCGATAACACTTTCTCAACGAAAATAAATTTTAAGATCTTGAACATAAACAACTAGGCAACAGGGAGACAAGAGCTTTGCAGCCAGGATAATGTTTGTTTTCTTTATTTGACTTCGCTTAAACCAAACTGACACTGTCCAGTGAAAAAGGAGCGAATAATTAGCGACATAATCCTAATGTTCTCCAGTTGATATTTTATTCGAGTGTATGATTAGCGACATAATCCTAATGTTCCCCCGTTGATATTTTATTCCCGTAGCTATGCAGAAGACGTTACTTCAGTAACGTCTGGCGCTAGCCAGGGTCCACACAGCTTTAATTTGGTGCTTATTCCCGTAGCTATGCAGAAGACGTTACCTCAGTAACGTCTGGCGCTAGCCAGGGTCCATACAGCTTTGTCTCAGTACTCTTGTCAGTTGTGTGCCTAGTTATTGCACTTTCTGACTGTATATAGTATCCAGTTACAGTGATGGAGAGTTACTCTTAACTCTTAACTCGTATCCTTATGTCCTTTTCCTTTCTACATCTATTTATGGCTCAACATCCGAGTTTAGAATTGAAAAATTTATAACATCCTTTAATATGCTATTTTTGCCTAGGTCATCAAGGCGGTAGACGGTGTCGTATTACCCTCGACCATACTTGTCCCGTACCTGTCCCGTACCGTACCATCAAAGACGGCTGGCCACAAATTAAAATTTAAAATTTCACGGTTCGCGTGAGACTCGGCTGGAAGCCGGGTTTTCCGCATCCGTAGGAACGCCACCACCCTTCAAGGATCAAGGCGCAGATGCAGCTCCTAAAACGGTGGGAGGTGAGTAGATCAGCTCACCAGCAAGTGGTCAAAGACCGAAAATCCCATTCACTGCATCCATGTTTTCCTCGTGCCAGGCCACGAGTTCCCAATCAACTGTGGGTCGCAGCACGGCTGGAAAAATCCTTCCGCTGCCATGTGCACAAAGTGAATGGCGCGTTTACATGACGCATTGCGCTTGACCCGGGTTGAAATTTCGCCCCGGGTTGATTTCAACCCTCCCCCCCAAGGGGAGGGTTGAAACCAACCCGGGTCAAGAAAATCGTACAAACGTACTTCTGTGCGTATCTCGCGCCAGGTTTGAACAGCACTGCAGATGCAAATTTCGCGCGAACGGATTCACGTGACCATGCAGGACTGTAGAAGTGGACTTTTGGCGGCATATCAGTATTTGACCCGGGTCAACTGTCTTCATGTAAACGCTCACCTCTTTTGTCTGTCGTACAGACTTTCAACCCGGGCTGAACTCGACCCGGGTTGAAACTTCTCATGTAAACACAGCCTTGGAAGAATTAGCATGTATGCGTAGTGTGTCGGGGGTTGCATGCAGGGCGATAGTGCGGGTTCGAATCCCAGGTTATGTCTTTTTTTAAGGAGAAATTTATAAGAATAAATAACATCTCTATGCTTTTTTGTCTAGGTCATCAAGGCAAAAAAGCATAGCGTAGGGCACTGAGCTTCCAAGCTCTCTCGTTTGTTTGTGTCACGCCTGGAGCTATCCCGTATCTGTCCCGTTTCTGTCCCGTATCTGTGACTACAAAGGCTCTACAGGATTGTACATAACAGCTAGCACAATATATGCTGGCTCCCGTATCTGTCCCGTACCGTACCATCAAACACAGCTGGCCACAAACAGCTGGCCACAATATTCGTCGTATTATGTATACGACTTCCTGATGTAGAGGGAGATTTGGAGAGAAATAGGGAGACGAGGAGGAAATGAAATTAGAATGGACGATAGTTTGCTGAATAGGTGATAGGATGCGTCAGCAAAAACATACTTTGGAAGAGAGATCCCGTCGTCTCCAAAATAAGCGTGAACGGGCGATTCAGCACCGGTCACAGGAAACGTCGGAAGAGAGATCCCGTCGACTCCAGAACGCCCGTGATCGGCAGAGTCAGCGCCGGTCCCAGGAAACGTCAGGACAGACATCCTGTCGAGTCCAGAACACCCAAGTTGCTGAAGACCAGTAGTCATTGCTGATAACGTGCAGAAAAACTAAATCTGCAGCCTCCTTTGGACAGGATACGTATTTTAGGAGACTGAAAAGTTATGTAATGTGCTCCACAGGAAACCATGCATTCGGCCGTCAGCAACAGTTAAGCACAAGCACACTATCAAGGTAAGGACATTATTTTATTATTATTGTTATGTATCGCATTGTATGGAATATAATTTTACCTCATTGGCTCAACAGGTCAATGTATTACTACAAAAAGGCCAGAAAATCCGATTACTGTATATATATCAACTAATTTTCGCTGGCGATTTAATTTCGCTGATTTCGCCGCTTGGTACCAACCGGCCAAAGTAAATCGCAGGCCAAAGTTTGTCATAGAGGCAAATGATGCATGATTGAGCAATGGATGCATGTGAGAGCAAAAAATACCGATCGATATTATACCGATCGATTTCTTTTTGAAAACTCCAATCGGCCAAAGTATAATGACAGCGAAAAGTTTCGTTTCGAGATCGGCCAAAGTTTCTCATCGGCCAAAATTTGTTGATTTACAGTATAAGGAGATAAAAGAAAAGAAGGAGCCAACCAAAAGTGGATGAAATTGGAGAAAAATAACAATCCGCAATAAATTCTACAAGTACTTTTACCTAACTCATATTCAAACTGATTGAAACGTTTTTGCAATACAATGATGTAGCCAATCAACGGAAAAAAACAATTCCATCAGTTCTAATAACATGTACGATGAGCTAGGCAAAAAAGCATAAAAGCATAGCGTAGGGCCCTGAGCTTCCAAGCTCTCTCGTTTGAGTGTACTGAAACAGATGGTCCGTCCCGTGAGACTCCTTGGAGATTTATGAAGGTGGAATTGTCTAGTGGTCGCCATCGCTGTTCAGTTAAATTCCTTGGATTTAATTATTTTTGGAAGAATTTGTAGCCAAGAGACCGTTTTTGAGTAGTGGTGTATAACTGTGTGAAACATGTACTGTGGCTACAGTGGAGTCTGCACACCATTAGCAAGGTGTTTACTGATGGATTCAAAATACAGCATTTTCGGCACTACCAGCTGCTCAGTTGCATCAATAACGCTTTCCCGACATTTATTATAACGATCTCTATTAAATGAGTAGGCGACAGAGAGACAAGACCTTTACAGGCATTATAATATCCAGTGGATACTTCACGTCAGTTCAAGTCTGTGTATGTTAGCTGATGTCACCTGTATCGATTGAAGCATGCTGTATGGTTCCGATTTCCACACCTTGGTCTGGCCATTTTCTGAATTTCTCCTATCTGTTATTGCTCCTTCAATATTTTCTTTATTTCTGACATTGGGATGTTTGTACTAGGGCCAGTGGGTGTCTCTTTTGGTGGTCTTTCTCACCTATGTCTCTGACTCTCTGGGCTCCGGAACCCTCTTACAAGAAGTAGACTCGAAAGGTGTTGTCTGACAAGCTCTCACTTTCAAAAGTGCTTTCAAGTTCTTCTTACATATTGGCTAGCACAGTCGCGTCGTTCATAATTGATAGATTACATGGTTGATTAGTGTAGCACACATAGTTCATTTAGTACCTTGGTCTCTCCACACCTGGTTACTATTCAATGCTCCCGGGGCGTATTACTGTGTTTCTTTTATGAGGTCCACATCACGAACAGAACGAAATACAGATTATGTGGATGGGTTGGGTGGGTGGGGGAGGGGTGGGGAGGGGGGGGGGGAGAGGAAGGCAGGAGGGAGGGGGAGGGGAGGGAGGAGGTGGGAGGAAGGGAGGGAGGCTAAGGAATATTGTGTCTGAAGAGCACCAAGTATGCAGTGCTCTTCATGCCAAACCATCACCAGCGGAACAAACTTACGGGGACACTCAGGCTGCGTTTCCACGACAACGCACGGCCAGTTTTCCATTTTCAGTCCCGCATTTCTTTTTTCATTTTCTTTCGTTTACACGATCAAAGCTGATCTGAGGTGGTCTCGGTTTGTATCGTGTTTGCGCGTTTACGCGGGATCGCGGGATCCGCCAAAGTTCGTCATGTGCCAAGTGTTGTCGTGGAAGCACCAATCACACTCAAGGAATAGTTGGGGCCTCACACAAAGGGAACACGCGCAGCAGAGCTCATATGCTTGCAGCAAGTTCACGAGGAAAAAGGCTTGAAGCGCAGTGTGAAAACTGTTTTGAACTGGAGTCCTTGGTGATGAAGTGCTACAGTAAGATCGGGCGCCGAAGAACGCAGGGGCTCGAGCGCAGCCTAGGAAAGTTCTTTAATTTTTGATTCTAGCCCGACCGTTCTTATTCACCCGCGCGCGGCGAGTCGAGTGACGTCATGACGTTTGTCATGTACATGTACATGTACATGTATATGTACATGTAGTGCAATGTAGTACTTTTAAACTAGTGGGTGTCGTAAATGGGAATGACTGTACATGTAGCAGTTACTGTTTACACGTGTACATGACATGGACTCACCTCCCATACATCTACAATATAATGTGTTCTTAAATCGGATAATTCTAGCCTGGACTGTTCTTAAATTTTGCGGGTTGTCCAGCCTGGGTGTTCTTCGGCGCCCGATCTTACTGTACTGAATGCCAGGCGAATGAGCGAGCAGATCGAGAGACCTCCACTCGAGACTTTCCTCGCTGGACAGCTAGCTGCAAGGGATTATATGGAGCAATAGCAGCATACAATTAGCATTATGATCATGATTTTCTAGCATTTCCCATGCCGTCTACGTAGAACTACGAAATGTGCACAATACTGCCCAAACCAAGCCATTTTTCCATACTTACTACTGGTGAATTGCTGGCATTACAGAGGAACAGCAGCATTACAAGTAGCATTATGATACAGTGTTTCTGGCATTGCCATTAGCATTATCCCGCAAAATAACTAGCATTATCCGCCCAGGCCTAACACTGTCCATTCTTCAAGCTTAGTGCTGGCCATGTAAGCGGCTTTCCAGTCTCGCCTCATAAATACCAAAGGAAGAGGGCAGAGAGGGGACTTTTATTGCAACGAAGAGAAACGAAAAAAATCACTTTGAAACGCGGAAAATCGAGCGAGTTTAGGCCAATCAGACTGTCACATTCTCTGTCTTGCCTTCACCACCTTATACAACCAGTTACCTGAATTCCATTGCATACTCCATAGAGTACGTGGGGAATTCCCGATTACATGTACTTTCACCCCTTCCTCATTGACAAACTCAAAATACCTTTCATAACTTCCACTATCAGCGTTTTCGGGCTGCGACGTGGCAAGCATATTTCGAGCATATTTTTCTGCTTTTGGGTGATTTTGAAGGATATTTTGAAGCAAGTGACCAATATGCGAAGAGCATACATAATATGCGAACTTTTTGGGCATATTTGGGCCCTCCCTACCCTCGATCTCAGTTACCTTCGTCCTTGTCCAACTGTTAATTTTGACACTGAATTGTCCTCCGTGTTACTTTGCAGCCTTCCTCCTCCTTCCTAGACCCCTTTCTTTAACTCCATTATCACATTCGCTTCCATGTAATTTGGCTTCTAGTCCGCGTGTGTACTTGCCAATTCAAATAAAAAAGTATACATACATAAATGGACTCGGAT